CATTTTTTATATTCAGACATTTTAAAGGTGCCGATTTTCATGCCCACCGTTTTGATTCAGCACAGTCCCTACCGTACTTAATGATTGTAAGATTGTTGAATGTTGATTTAAATGCTAAAACCTTCTTTACCATTCAAGCGCCCCAGTGGTACGTTTGCAGACTTTCAACGCTGAAAACCTGGTTTCGATACCATTGGTGAGCAGAGCACAGATGACAAATAGTAATTTACCCTTAAAACTTCTGTACTTGAGAATAATCGCACCAGCGATACAAAAACTTTGTACTTGTTTTAAACATATTTTTCCTTACTGTAAAACCTGTAACTTCTAACAAAATAATACTTATAATCAGTAAGTAAACTCAAATGGAAACTATTAACTTAATTATTTGTTAACAGTTTAAACTCCTCTTTCTCAACTTCCGATAGATTGCAAAACCTTCTCACTCATAAACTAATGTTGTTTTTTGTTGTTACAATACCGGGAACTACCTTTTTGAGGTTTTAAGGCTCATGATGGAGTTTGAAGCAAATCCGAAACGTCCGTAATTAAATATGTTTTTTGTTAATAATGTGTTTTTAATAGTTATTATAAAAATTCGTTTTCTACCTAATGAATAATTTTAAAATGTAAACAAAAAACGAAATGCATGAATGATTTAATACATTATTACGTGAATAACTTTGTCACTATACTACATTTTTTTTGTACAAAAACATCTACTAACATATTAGTATTACTGCTGTTATTACTACTGACAGTAATAATAATAATAATTACATTGGAATATTAATTCTTTTGCCAAATTACTTAATTGTAAGGCCCTGGCATGGCCAGGTGGTTAGGGGGCTCAACTCGCAATCTGCGGGTTCGAATCCCCGTCCCACCAAACATTCTCGCTCCTTTCAGCCATGGGGGAGTTATAATGTTGCAGTCAATCCCACTATTCGTTAGTAAATGAGTTGGCGGTGGGTGGTGATGATTAGCTGCCTTCCCTCTAGTCTTACACTGCTAAATTAGGGCTTCTTTTTTTTTAATTATGCATAAAGCTACACAAGGGCTATCTGTGCTCTGCCCACCACGGGTATCGAAACCCGGTTTCTAGCGTTGTAAGTCCGCAGACATGCCGCTGTGTCACTGGGGGGCGCTAAATTAGGGACGGCTAGCGCAGATAGCCCTCGTGTAGCTTTGCGCGAAATTCAAAACAAACAAACAAACTTAATTAGAAATGGAAGCAAAAAAAAGCAATCGAGCGTACCTGTATGATACGCGGCAATTTTACTTGAAGTTTGAGAACTTAAATATACATATATATATATAGGCCTACATAAAAATTATTTGGTTAACTTATATATATTCTATAGCACCATCTGCTGGTAAGAATTATTAAAATATTTTACCAACATCTAAAAATAAATTTCAACCGAGATTATGACGATGTTTGTTTACTTGACATAAATAGAAATGTTTTCCTATATAATTATTTAAACGAGAATAGTTTATTTTCGTAAATTATCTTTTTCATTTATCAAAATTGTCCTTTTTTTAAATGATGGAAGACCTTAGTAAGACCTTTTACGAGGAGTGTCCGAAAATTTTGGGAACCGACCTACGAAGAAAAGAGACACTGGTTCAACTATGATTTGTTTTTCAACACAATCTCCTCTAATGACTTTATGAGCTTCTAAAATAACTCTTCTTCACTAGCTGTGCTCTAATGACTTTATGACCTTCTAAAAGAACTCTTCTTCACCAGCTGTGTTCTAATGACTTTATGACCTTCTAAAATAACTCTTCTTTACCAGCGGTGTTCTAATGACTTTATGACCTTCTAAAATAACTCTTCTTCACCAGCGGTGTTCTAATGACTTTATGACCTTCTAAAATAACTCTTCTTCACCAGCGGTGTTCTAATGACTTTATGACCTTCTAAAATAACTCTTCTTCACCAGCGGTGTTCTA